ACCTGCCGAGTGCGGGCGTCGGAGAGGGTTGGAAAAATACATACATCATGCTTACATGGATATTTGCATACATACATGCCTGCTTGCCTGCCTGCCTATTGCATACATATATACGCATACATGGATACATGCACACACATACACAGATGCGTCTACTGTACGTCATGGGCCTATGTAGCTCTAAAGAACGGTAGGCGGAGAGTCTTCCCCCGTGTAATCCAGTTGCAGAATTTTTCAAAAAACGCAGTGTATGAACTGACGAATGCGCTAGATTGCTGTAGCATCGGGCTTTCGCTTTCTCCGGCGAGCCCGACTGCAGGCATACAGTTAGCATGCAGCAGAGCAGCAACTTTCGATCTTTTGGCGAAGCGCACCTAAGCACCCGAAGCCACGACAGCAACGATGAGATGTCAGTATGCAGGAGAGGCGGCATCCAAGTGCCAGACTCCGCAGGACATGGAGGTCCATTTCTGGCAGGAGTGGGCTTCCGAGACATGTGCACTTTCGGCAATGCCTCCTTGCAGTTAGGATGGGGACGACTGCAGTCGCACAAACTACTGTTGCTGTTTCCTCATGCTATCCTGAATACAGTTCCTACTGCTGCTGCTGCCGCAGCTGCTGCTACTTACTGCTATTTCTACTGCTGATACTCTGCTACTGCTGCTCCTGCTTCTACAAGGATTATGACTCCAACTACTACGGCTTCTACTGTTACTTCTGCTGCTTCTGCTACTGCCAATGCTGCGGCTACCGCTACTACTACCGCTACTACTACCGCTACGGAAACTGCTACTGCTGCTACTGCTGCTACTTCCACTGCTGCTGTACTGCTACTGCTGCTGCTTGTACTACTTGCTACTACTACTTTCTACTTCTGCTGCGCCGCTGCTGCCGCTTTTCCTCTGTATTGCTCACAATGCGAACTTCTTTCATGTGTGACGATAGCTACGACGACGACTGCTGCTGAGGCCGAGGCTGCTGCTAACTATCGCTCGCCATTTGCCAGATTTCCAGGAGATCTTCGCTAGCCCCATTCCTCCAGCACCCATGGAGGCCGCCGCCCGATTTCTTTTGCAGTTGGATTCAGCAGAGAGCCAGGCAGAGAACTCAAACACAGTTTAAAGCAAGAGCACAGCACGCACACACGCGAACGCACTGACATACACACAAGCGCACGCGTTCCGTGTTTTGTTTCGAAGGCGGATATAGCGAAGCAGAGAGAGGGCAAGACATGTCACAGAGTCTTTTCCATCCCGCCCTGTGTCCGTGATCCAAGGAGTCTTCCATCGGCACTTTGGCGCCGACAGCTGTTAAGCCGCCCGTTTGCAAAACACAACCCATGGTGGGCATTCTTCATCTGCATGGGGTTCGGCATGCGCACTGGAGGAGTTTTTCCTTCCTTAACTGAGCTTTATGTCCCGGTCAGCATTGTCAACCGGTCAAGGACCAGGCACTTCAGGCATGAACGCCGCACACAGACCAGCAGCGAAGCCCACTCTCTTCGCATGCCCCTGGAAGTTCAGAGTCAGTCTTAGGCGCCACACCTCGGCTTTGGAGGCATCTGGCAGCTTCTTGGATCGAAGGAGTAAGCTAGCCAGAGATGCCAGGGGCTAGACCTTGAACACCGGAGAGATAATGTCGAGCCCGCGCCAGGTAGTACTGCCTTCCCGGAGGTCGAGGGTTTGGCGGAGTTGCTTGAGCAGATCGAGAGACTGCCTGGAGCCCAGCTGCGTGTCTTGGAGCTCTTGAGCGCAGCTCGGATATCTCAAGAACATTTCTCAGAGTAAAAGCCGGCGTACTACTTTCACCACCGCCACGATGACGACTACTACTACTGCTCCTGCTGCTCTGCTGCGGCTACTGCTGCTGTTACAGCTACTGTACGGCTTCTAGGTACTAAATACGAAGGACAAGGATGGTAGCAATAAGGCAGCTTTTGTCTTACAAAGGCTGAATTGTGTACGAGTTCTTCCTACTAGAGCGCAATCGGTTTGGGTTGATTCCATCTTCTTCCGCTTGGGAAGCCTCTCCATGCGTTCCGGCCAAGATTTCATGCATAGATAAGCCTTTGGAGCCGACTGAAACAACGAGGTACGTGTCTTTACTGCTGCTGCGGGTTTCGCACGAGCAATTGAAGTTCTCCGCGGACTTTCGCAGCCAGTGGCCACGAGAGGGAGTTCTGCAGCTGATCCCCTCGAGGAGGAGATCGATGCCGAACTGGAGCAGACGTTGGAGAAGCTTCGTGACGACATTGAGAGTGTCGGTGTCGACCGTGCAATAGACCTCTTCATCGAGGAGTGGAACTGACGCAGGCCCAGGTGGTTGGGCGCGGGACCGGGACGTCGCGGCACCTCGCGGCCGGCAACATCCTTTCCCGATTAGCTGCTTGAAAATTCAGAACACCGAGGACCCGAATTTGTTTCAAAGCTTTGTGGTTTGTCGGGTTCCATGCAGAGAACAGGGGACACAGATGCAGCAAAAGCCTGGTGGCGATGGCAGTGTTCTACAGCGTAGGGTATGCTCCGAAACACTGGTCAGAAGCTGCTTGTAGACCCTCCATCTGTCGTTTTGCATCGCCCGGCACCCTCCTTCGGTCGCCTGCTGCCGTTTGACCCTTCGAATGCAGGCATATGACAAGCAAAACGGAAATATCAATGCCGGAGGAGCAAGTGATCAGCCGTACTTGGTGAAATGCTCGCCCGCACCACCAAAGTCTAGCCAAGCAAAAAGTGCCTCTCATTCATGGACAGATATGCGCTCAGTTTAGTATCTCTAACTTCCAAGAACCTATAGGAAGCACCCAACTTGCTCCCAAGCTGAACATGGCTTTCTTGGCCGACGTCGGTGCTGCAGGGCTGGGCGCAGCCGTGACGGAGCCAGCTATGCATAGCAAGCTTGCAAGATGACAAGTGGCCTTTGCTTCCATAGGGGTGTAGTTGTTGTAGTAGCTGTCGATGCTACAGCTCCACCCTGTTGATCACCGGGGGGTCGCTCTTGTGGCCATCATTGGCATTAATTCCGGAGGTCTCGCGACAAGGGAGCGTTTTCCGACTAACCACCACTTCCCACGTGTACTTCCCACTGTGATGCATCGCTTCTTCTCGTGGCTTACATGCCATAGGCAAGAGCCGCTGTGCCCGGAACAGTACATACTGATGAGTTACTGATGCATACTGGCATTCGTGTACATGTATATCATGGTACATAACTAAGAACTCATAACCACCCGGAGAATAGATAAGTATACTTGCAACCATGGGTGAATACACAAGTAGTTAAAACAGAGAATGCCAGAAATCTTCGTATCCAGCATAAACACATGCCTAAACTTAAACATGTTCATCTATACTTAAAAAGCACATTCAACACCTGCATGTCATCTGCACATCTGTTCACACACACATACCCGGAGCAGGACACTATCTTCAACCCGTTGGCGATGATCACGGTTAGACTACAGGTCGCTTTGTCGGCACGCCCAGATCGCGGATTACTGGAACTACGCCTCTTCAGATGTAGGGGTTCCGAGAATAGGGGACCCTAATATAGCACCCTAGTTGCACTAGTTAATAGGATCCTTATTATAAGGACCCCAAAATAAGGCACCCTGATTTTCGGAAACTCCCATAGGAGTGCGGTTGTTGCCAGGTATTGTTGTTTCCTGAAGTCCAGTGGATCAGAATTGAGCTTGCTCCGTCATAGCAGTCATAGCAACACAGCAGACTGCACGGCCTAAGGTAGACAAGGACGGTACCCTTTATCGAGAATTTCGTCAATGCGCAGTGCGCATCTTCCGTGAAGAAGGTGTGTCCCCAGGCTACTAGCGTTTGAATTTCGGTTGGTATTATGCTAGCCGCTGTATTTTCCACGGCCTAACTTGAGAGTTCAAATCGCCTCAATCTGAAGTGGCCCAGCCAAGTCACAAACGCTTGCCCAAGGCTTGGTCTTTGGCTGCCTGGGCTCGTGGCCACGTGGATGAATCCGGGACCGAAAGGGCATCAAACATGCACTTCTATCCACACACACACACACGTTGTTGTGCAAATGCGGATGTTCGAACTTTATGTGGAATTGTAAGAATATGTTTTTTTCCGGTCAGTGTTTCCCTCATGTTTGCAACATTCCAATGCATGTTCCTCGGACTTGTACGAGCCATAGCTGGCGCACTACTACCGACTACTCCCCTCCTCCTCCTCCGCCTCCTCCT